ATGTTGAACCAATGTGGAACAGAAAAGGTGCAGAGTAAATACAAAGAAAACAGTAAACTTAAGTAAATCACAGTAAAAGCATTACAATGTATTTTGCACCCAAAATATCCTGAATCATTTTACAAAAGTAAATAATTCAATAAATAAATAGGCAAAGAGAATAACCACCCAATGGTGGACCTAAAGCTATGCCCTTTAGTTATAGCTATTTTTATGTTGGCAAAGCGTAATTAGTTATAGCGGCCATCTTGAATGTGGTTTAGACAGACACCTGAGCACACATGCAAAAACATGTTGCCCACTTTACCCATTTTGATTATGAATGGTAGCATAAATACGCAGTRGTCTCTCTAAATGGACCTTTATGCATCATTGACCCCTAGTGGCACTGAATGGTGGCAGCTGAAGGCYCTGTTAGTCCAGCTGACAACAGAGATGAGCGGTTTCACCTGTTCTGGAGTCGGCTCTTCAGTAGCCAGGCTCACTCCAACCACCACAACGAGGGTGATGAAGGACAGTAAGACGGAGAAATACAGGTAATGGACGTATTTCAGCACGCCAGGCCTGCTGTCCTCTTCGTAACACATAGGCGCAGGGTAGATGAAGTCCAGTAACATGCGTATGCAGCCCACAGTGAGGCCGACGGCGAGGCCCCAGAATGCACCCTGTACAACAGAGAAGGTAAATGTTTCATGTCTGAAACCTGAAGAGAGGTAGCTGGTCAGCATCTCTTTCATCTCTTTACCTTCTCGTTAGTCCTCTTCCAGAAGCAGCCCATGAGGAAGACGATGCTGACCGGCGGCTGCAGGTAGGTGCTGATGGACTGGATGTAGATGAAGAGCTGGCCGCCCTGACTGGCCTGGACAACAGGAATCCAGAGCACGGACACCACGACCAACACGAGCACAAACACCCTGCAATAATTAAAATATTTTAAATAAAACCAATAAAGTCCATCAGACGCAGAACTGGAGTGCTGGGCAAACTTCTGAAATCTTAGCAGTAGTGTCGGGGGAGACCAGGGACAGCAGCAACACATCATTTTTCTCCAAACAGAAACAAGCTAGTGATGACACTCACACTGTACATGCTCAGTTAGATGCCCCACCTTGCAAAGAAAATGTACGCAGATTCAAAAACTGCTCCAGGATTTATTTGAAAAAACAGAAAAACAGTTTTTGGGGTACCAAAGTATTTATTATTATTATTATTATTATTATTATTATTTGCCTAGCTTTATTTTTGTTAAACCGTTGTCACTGTTTTTGTAATCTGCTCAAACTTATTTGGTTTAAACAAGTGATATGTTGACTTTTAACTAATATGGTTAGCATGTATCAAGATCAGCTTATTTAGCTAACACATGAGGTTTTATCATGGATGACAGGAAGGGGGACAGTTGCAACTGTCCCCGTATAATAAATTCATATAAAAACAGAGCACATAAAGATGATATTACGATGTTAAAATTGAGTTTACACTTAAAAGGGTATTGGGGGTTCATGACAATTTTAAAGTTTAAAACATAAAAGTGTTTAAGATGTATTTTCTGCAGTTGTTGTTTTCAACAGTGGTTTTAAAATCCCAGTTTCTTTCAATGTAAATTTTGCATAATGTAGGCGTACAGTGACAATAGGCAAAASAAAAGTTAATTGCCTCACAAATTGTTCTATTATTCAGGTTTCTAAAAGCCAACTGTATTTTATATTGATTTGAGTCTTTGACATCTGTATATAAGGTCTAATCATCAAGGCAAATCTATACTCGTCATTTGATCAAAAAGAATAAATAACACAATAATATCATAACATATAACTTGCAGTTTTTATAAATTAAGCAATAATATAATTATAAAAATAATAAAACTTATTTACAGTGAAATATATTGTATTAATATGTTGCAACCACCCCCAAACAATGTTGCAACTGTCCCTGGCCCCGGGGTCAGTTGCAACATCTGACTTTTCATTTTCAAATGCAAATTGTGAAGAATGTACATGCTTTAATCATCTATAAATGGTTTTGACTATTAACAGACAGATGTACGTTTCTTGTATTAAAATTTGGTTTGTCTAATTCAAACTCTCTCTGAGTTACAGTCAAATGTAAAAAGTGATGCAACTGTCCCCTGTCTCCCCTACTTGAGAACGGTCTTAAGACCATTTTAGGCCAGGATAGATGGTCTACTTTAGCCCCTTACAGTTAAAGTGAATTTATTTTTGTAAAAGTTGTTAATCGAGAAGAAAAGGCAAAAAGACTGCATTTGGTTTGAATGAGCATCTAATGACACATTCTAAAGTTCCTTTTTATAACAGCTCTGCAAAGGTTTTAATCCATCTCATACTTCTTCACACTTTGCTTTCAAGCAGTCAGATTGTCTTGTAATCTTTTAAAGTGTTCTTGATCAAGAGTTCTTCTTTTTGAAGGTTTTTCTTTGGACTTCGGCTGCTTTTCACACTCTGTTTTAATCCTAAACATGAGAACACACGGTGTTGCTTGAAAAAATTAGTAAAGTGGACAAATGGAAAACAAATTAAGAAGTGTCCAATCTAAAATCAGCAGCTTATGAATAAAATCTGACAGATAATTCTTTAAGAAACAGGAGAAATAATCCAAGCAAGACCTGAAAGATGCTTCATCCTATATTTGAGTATCAATTTTGTGACAACTTTTAACTAATAACTTTTTGCACAGTTTTGTTGATGAAAAAAAATACTATAATAAAATACTTGATCATGCATCCATTTGTGTTGCTTTTGGTAATTTTTTAGATTTAAATAAAGAAATGGGAAGAAATCGTGTCTGTGTGACCTGCAAGCATCTAAAGATCCCATTTGATTACCGGTAAGTTATTTGGTAGGTTTTCTATTTATCGATTTTTGCGCATGAACGACAGCAGCGGCTCGTAAGCATAAAAATTAGTGGGACGGATATTATTTTCCTAAATCAATATCAACATTGTTACAATTTGCGGCATGTTTTCTGTGAAAAATATGTAAGATACGTTACTTTTAATCAGTTATTTGTGCACAAAGTTGTCAACTTTTTTGTCTCTCACCCTAGGTTTGTTCATGAGTGATTGTCATGTGAACAAGGGGAGTTGAAGAAATTTATTGGCCATTTACTTACTGATTCTAAAAGCACAACACCGTTTTGCAGTTTTCCTTTTTAATTACTGATTTCTGTAAACTATTGTGTGATTATTGCTATGCTTTGATTAAAATAGTTTTAGCTACATGCCTGTTTAGACATGATTTCAGTAAAAGAAAACTAATTTTCTTAGTTTGTCTCGTAAAAATTGAAAAAAAATTAAAGGTCATTAAATCAGCAAAAAGTCTCCCACCCAAACTTATTATGTAGTCTATTAATTGTTGGAGAAATTGATCAGACAGGTAGCTAGTATATACAGCTTTCTGGATTTTATTTCCAATAAAATTTTGAGTAGGCATAATGTTCTGCAATAAAACTCCAGATAAACAAAGTTAAATGAGGACAAGACATCTTGTGAAATAATTTTAAATATGAAAGTAAAAAAAAACAGTGAACTCTGCGTCCTCTAAAGTTACATTTACATCGACATAAGTAGGCTAATCTGACTAAAAGGCTATTCAGAATAAAAAATGTGTCATGTAAACACTTACCGGTAATCTGAAGTTAAAGGATTTAATACAGAAAGAAAAACTCAATTTCATTTTATAAACATTCAAATAAGATAGGACTGAAAATGAGAGAAAAAGCAACCCAAGTCCAATATTTAGACCCCTTTAAAGGAAAAGCGTCTGGCTTCTTGGAAGCAAAATATAGACTTATTGCAGAATATTGTATACAATATTTCTAAATGCACACAGTCAAAGTGCATTTAGCTTTCAATAGACTGTATATTTTGAAAATAAGTTTTCTTCAAAAGAAAAGTTTTTCTTTTAAAATTCCTGAACATGGCATAAATGCTGCAACCATAAATACATATTTTTGTCACATACCTGCCCACGATCATGAGCTCCCACTCAGATGCACAAGATCTGAAATTCTTCCATAGGTCCATGGTAAAAATGGTGCTGGAGCTGTTGAAGATGGAGGTCAGAGATGACATGAGAGCAGCAATCATCACAGCCATCATCAGACCCCTCAGCCCTGGAGGGAACCACACCGTTAGCACCGAGAAAGCGGTCTGTGTGAGAGGCATAGAAATAATGATGAAGAGACGTTTCTGACCTGCAGGAAGAAGCTCCATGACCAGTTTGGCGTAGGCGATATCCGAACAGCCAACTGAGTTCCCACAGATCTGTTTGCACAGCTCAGGGTCTGCACACGCTACTTCATCTGAAAAAACACACGTCAGTCCATCTGCTTAATAAGTCTTAAAGGATATTTTGTGGATATGCACCTGTGTAGAGAATCCTGCTGATCATGCCGGGGAGCATGATGGCAAAGAAAGGCAGGACTTTAAGGTACGCAGCCAGCAGGGAGCCGCCCTTGGCGTGGGTCAGAGTCTTGGCAGCCAGAGAGCGCTGAACAATCACCTGCAGAGAATCCCAACCACAGAGCACTCTCAGAGATCGGTTAATGAGTGACTTGAGATTCCCAGAGACCATCCTGTTCAGTGGGAATCAAAACAAAAAATGCTAATCTTGTAACTTATTATCACTTAACCGATGAGACGGTGAATGAGCAGGAAAACTGAGCACGCTGGTCCCAGGTTGGATTTGTAAAACAGAAAAATTTCTAAAAATGCAAATGTGCCAAGAAGTCATGACAAAAGGTCTTCAATATGATCTTTGTCTGTTTGAGCTCAAAGTTACAAAATATGATTAAAAAAACAAAACAAAAAGTGAATAAAATTGCTGAGATATTGTTGTTTTATAGTGATTCTTTTATTTCGACTTTTATTTGCTTTCTGAAAGATTGAACTCAAGATGTTTTATGTCATCAAATTGCTTAATGGAGACATACAGTATCATGCTTTTAAATTCTTCTTTTTCACATTTAAATCATTCAGTTGGGGTCTATAAATGAATGAATGAATGAATGAATGAATGAATGAATGAATGAATGAATATATCTTTATTTCAAAACAGATAAAACAAACAAACAAAACTGTGTATATATCTATACACACATACATGAATATTTTGTATTGGGCAGCTTACAAGACCATCTGTTTTGAAAAGTCTCCACAAGCCCCTCTTTCACCCCTTTTCTGAGGTGTGTTTTGAGGCTGTCTTGGGTATTTCACACACCTCCCACCCCCTTCAGCTTCTAGAAAAGTCAATTGTACCTTGATAGAAAGGTTTATGATTATATAGTGGCACAGAAATGTTTAATTAAAAGATGTCAACAACAGAAGACTTGTCCATCCAGCCTTACATGTTGGAACCAGAGTCTCTTTAAAGGGGCAATATTATGTGTTTCTCTGGCATACATTTAAATACTATACCGTAATAAAGTATCTATGTCACCTTTAGCTGTTGTTAAAATGCTGTTTTTATGTTAAAATACAAAAAAACACTGTGCCATGAGGAAGCTCGGCTTAAAGACACGTCCCAGGGGCGTTTCTGGTACCAAATCCCCACCTGTCGTTTTGCTCCTCAGCATGGCTGCCTAAAAAACGCTGCAGAATTTCTCAAACATGCATGAATGAGTCAAAGCAAGGCTTTGGACATGTTTTTTTTTATGAGAGTATAACATTACAACATGATATAAAACTCAAAAAAGTTGATTTTATATGATATTGCTCCTTTAAAATTGTAGAGGTAACCCTGGTGAAATATTCATTTCAATTTTTGTCTTTGATTTTATTTTTTACACTTATAAGAAGAAATGCATTTTAAAGTGTTTTTATTTTCTTTAAGTGAATAGGACAATAAGTCCTATATATATGTTATCTCATTTAATCTTCTATTAGAGGTTATGATCAATATATCATTACTCAAAGTTTTATTGAATTAATCTTTGTCTCTTTATTCCAGAAGATTAACACTGTGAAGAAGAAAAAGAGTTGAAATGTGCTTTAATGTTTTTTCTTAGTACTGGGTTATTAATCATTGTTTATCATATTTTTTAATTGATTTAATGATTAATTAGTTTCACTGTTAATCCATTGATGCAAAGGTCTGACTTATAAGCTTAGTTGAAGTGATTTTTAAGACACAGCTTGGGCTGTCTGTCTGACTCCAAGGTCTCTCTTTGCTGATAAGAACTTGCAGCTGGCCGCAGCTGCTGAGAAAGACACCTTGTTTATCTTCTCACCCTCTCCCCTCTCAAGAACTAATTTTTTCTGTTCTCGCCAGTTAACAGTTAGACAGTAGTTGTTCATTGTTCGTCGGAGTGGATGGTTCTGACTGGGTTTTCTCTGAGGTGGTGTCCATCTCTCGACACCTGCATGGATGTAAACCTGGATGGAAGTTACTAACCTAGTTTTGCTGCCGAGAAGCAYCTGACTGATTCCAGCCTGGAGCCCGCTGAGGCTAGTTATGGAAAGGCGAGAGGCATCTCCCTCCAAGCTGTCAAGGAGACATCATCCACCTGCGGACTTACGAGGCGGTCAATCTCAAATCCTTCTACCTGCCTGCCTGATCGACCATGATCTGAAGTCGTCTAAAAGGTAGAAAAAGTGTTTGCTGAGATAAAAGCTGAAGTCTAGCCCTCGGAGATGTCTGGWCCTRAYGCTGTTTGCTGGTCTGGTCAGTGTTTAAAGAACAAGTGCCAAATTCACTAATCTTCTTTTCCTCCTATTTCTTAAAGCTAAGTCTATACCTTTACTCTCTTATTTACTTAAAAACTTAGTCAAGTAGCGTACCAGTAAATTACTACACCTGAAATTTACTGTTTTTGTCAATTCTGAGTGGAATTTTTATGCCGAAAATATATAACTTGTGTCACTWRTTCATATAATATTTTTAAGAAATGTTTGTATGTTTATTCTGTTCATATATCTAAAATAAATTACTTTATTTTGAGAAATCTGTTCAGGTCACAAGTTTTCATTTTTTCTCATTCATGATCAGAGGGGTATTTCATTATTTCCTGATTTCATTTTGCAAGATCTTGCTGGATTATTTTGTGAAGGTTAGGCTGGTCCTAAGTTTCATAGGGTAATTCACTACAAAATAAAAAATAAAAAAGAGTGAAAGGTACCTGATCAGAGCACCAGTACCACATGGAGGGGACAGACATGCCGATGATAACACCAGGCCAAGGCAGGTCAGAGTTCACCGGGTCTCGGAAAATGTGGAAGGCGTCCTCTCGAGGGATGCCGCAGGTCGAGTTGGGCACTCGGATGGTAGGAATAGCATTGGTGTATTCCCGCATCAGAACATTCCAGCCTCCGACCTCGGCGAAACCTGGACCCAACACACGAAAAAAGGAAGAGACATTAAACCGCTGCAGGAGGTGCTGGGAGTGCACGTGCTCACATAGTGACCTACTGAAACCCATGAGGGTGAGCGCTCCTCCCAGCATGATGGCAGTTTGAGCCGCGTCAGTGTAGATGACTGCAGCCAGACCACCTGCAACACAACAAGCAACATGTCATTTATCCAGCTGAGAAAACCCAGGATGACTCTTACAGCTTTCACAGGATGGTTTTAACATGGTGGCAAAGGAATGGTCACCTGCTACAGTGTAAAGAGCAGTCACTGATAACAGCAGCACCAAAGCCAGGTAAATGTTCCATTTTAAAGCAAGCTGAATGAACAATGCACCTGCGTACATGTCCACCTGCACAAAACACAACAGAGAAGAGCTTATTTTAAAGTCCACACAAGGATAACATTCAAAAAGTCTGTAAATATGTACTAAAATGTTGTGGAATTATACTTTAATCCAGGGCCGACCCCAGCCTATTTGGATAAGGACCCCTTGTGCAATTTTCTAAATCTCACTGCCAATTTCCACACATTCACATACCGAATGAAATAGTTTTGTCTTTGATATTTTTTATCTTTAGAAATCAGGTTGTTCATTTTGCTGACAGCGATAAGGAACTATTCATGTTAACCAGCAGCTGTGGAGTGAAGCAGTTCTAGGGGGCTCCAGGGGTATACTATACCAAAAGATTGTGTAAAAGATTGACTTTCCAGCCATTTGAAAAGCGTTTTGCTAAATTCCTGGGATTAATAAAACCTAAAATCAGTATTTTATGAAGGTTGAACACTGAAAACAAGAATTTAACCTGAACTTCATCTGAGATCAGAACTGAAACTTCTGTTATTCCTTATTTTGTTTTTTATTTACACGACAGTACTTACCGTACCATTGACTGCATCATATGATACTTTTATCATGAAATATCATCTGCACCATTTAACACCTCATGTAGTAACAAAGCAGCAGAGAAACCCAAGTTACCTTCATAAAGTAAGTGATGAGTAACCAGTGATTGTTCTACAGAATAAATCAACTATACTCTGATAAAT